TAATTAAACAACTCATTTCAAAAGTTCGCACACTTATTTATAAAGATTACATTTTATCTCTTTAAATTCCTTTTCTTAATTTTTCTAAAGATTTTTATACATTGAATATGATTATTTGAATTAAACATACAATTTACAACATAATAATTTATTCAGTATACATGTACTGAAAAGTACAGATATAAAAATACAGATGGAAAGTACAGATATAAAAACATAAAGCAAATGATTAACATACAATATTATCATATAAATAATACAAGTCTGAGCAATGCTTGGAAATGCGCAAGTCTACAATAAATATAAAAATATTAATTTGTACTATTTTTCAAATCCATCTTTTCGGAATATATGTGACTCCTTGATTATTGTGAGTAATACGCGATACTGAACAGGAGTTCAAATCTTGAATAGTTAAGCACCGCCAAAGTTCGGTGTCGAGTAATACACATTCATGTAATCTGTATGCCTGGTAATTTCATCGAAATATGTATAATTAGTTACTTCTTTCGTAATTAAATACATATTTCGAGAACAGTCTTCTATAATAAGGTGAACTATGAAAAATTGGTGTTCCCTTTCGTTCGGCAACATAAGCACGACATCTTTTTTGATAATGTGATTTTTAAACTTAATGAAATTTAGAACTGAAACTGTATCTGCTAATTGGATTGGTAGAAACATTGAATAACAATAAAAATCTGATAGTTCTCGTGCTGTCACAGTTTTAGAAAGCCCACTTTTATAAGGTTTTTCGTTAACGGGAGTATGCAATAGTATACGGCGATTCAATCGTAATTGGGATTTAATTGCAAGTGTCTTACAAATGTTCAATCGACTACCGGATACTTGAGATGTGATTTTGAAATCTCGGTTTTTGCTTTCACATCTATTCGTGGATAAATAACATAATGGGCCCATCCGCCTCATAGTATGCGCATAATGTAATAAAAAATGATGTTTTGGTTTCAAACATTCTGGGAACAACAAAGTAAGTAACTCCAAATATTCTTCGATCAAACTTTCCAAATAGTCTGCCAAATCCCCATGGACCATAGTTGCAGTGATAATATCCAATATTTCTTTCAATACTATAACAATTTTCCAATGCTGATCATCAGTCGGAATGTAATGCCCGATCAGGAGACCAATATTTCTCAAAAAACAAAGCATTTCGCTAGTAGACATTTTTATATGTTTGTTCTTTAACTTAATCATATTAATTTCCCGAGGTTTGTTGCGGATTTCATCACCATAATAAAAATCGTTTATTTTATTATTAAGATCTTCACAAGTAAAGAATTTTTTTGTCACGACGTAGTGATACAACAGCAATCCTAAATCGTATTCGCAGATACCTTCCAAAATGTCATGCATAATGTCAACTGTTATAAGATTAATTGTTGATGAACTAGTCAATTTACTTAATACCGACGGGCCAGCAATACCTGTCAAACTAGGTTGATTCATGGTTAAATGTTGTAAGTAATTCTCTTCTGTCCGCAACTGGCACATTGATGTTTTTAATACGGAATTTATCTCGCTGTTGTTTATCAAACAGACTCTACACGGAAAATTGGCAGAAAAACTTTTCATAAATCCCAAAATTGTATGAACCGCAAGATTATCACCGATTACTCCCGCTAATGAAAAGTAAACATCAACTAAACCAGATGATGTCGAAATTGAGATTCCTTTTTGCTCTAGAAACTGTAATTCTTCCACTGCTTTTGCGAAAATGTCATGTAAGGAAACATCCATTTGATCTGAATACTTGTACAGTGTTAATAAAAATATATTTTCTGTTTTTGATTGTATAGAAGGAGGTAAACACGGTATTACAATGTAAACACCTCCGATTTTTCCTATACCCCTGTGAGTTCCCAAGGGATTGTTAGTTTCAAAATCATCTTGATAAAGTAGCATTGGCAAAACTAATCTGTCATCAAATGATTCCTTTTTTAGTTTCCAATTATCCGCTTGAATAATATTTGATATTAACAAATTATATTTGTTAAGACTGTCATTATAATTCATTGTTTCTTGAAAAATTCTCGGTTGTTCGAAAAATTTTTTTAATACATTTCTCAATGGGATGAATTGAATCGTTATCTTTTTCTCTATAGATACTGTACCTTTCTTTTTACCAATAAGAACATCCTTGCAATTAATTTTTATTTCTTCGGGAGGTATGTAACTTCCTATTTTTTTGAAATACTCCAAACATTTGTACTCCGTTTCAAGTTCGTCAAATGGTCTTTGCAATTTTGTAATCATGGCTTTATAAGCGGCAATGTTCTCTTGGGACTCACCAAAATTTCTTAATTTCTCTACCATCTGGTTTAGTAGCGTTGTTATAGCACGATCTTTCAGAAATTTATTAAAATTTTGTATAATGTTATGAACGTGGGAACGTGGCAGATCTGCAAAATAATATAATTCGCTGACTAAATTGGCGGCAGCTGTATGCAAACAATTGGAAAATAATTGGGGGTCCATATTTATCATAAATTTATTTTTTCCAACACACTTGTTAGAGTAGTAAGTGTTCACTTAGACAAAGTGTGTAAGAAAAATAATATAAAAGTGAATACCTGTTGACTTTACATATATTAATAAATAAATTGAAAAATGGAACAGTTCTCATTTTTTTTCTTAATCAATAGTTGTTTCTAACTCATTTTCGATAAAACTTAATACTTTGTTAACTTGAATCGATAGTTTTTCCCCAGGAAGTGAAACTTTAAATAATGTTTTTTGAATCAATAGCCACACGTTCAATGTTGCCTTAGGATATGAAAAATCGTAAACTATATATATTTTAAATGCTAACTCAAGTGCTTCTATAACTGATGGTACTTCGTATCGAGCTCTGCCAATTATGGAGTAGTATCTTTTAGGGCTTCTTATCGATCCAACCACTGATATAAATGGCTTAATGCTTCCTTGATTTGATTGTGCGTTGATCACAGCGTCTTCTAAATTCGCTTCCGTCTGTTTAAAAATAACGTATATCAGAATAACAGATGGAAAAGTATAAGTGTGAATATTTGAACTTTTACTTACGTCAACATGTAGGATGAAAGATTGTCGTTCCTGTTGCTTCAATAATTTCTCTTCCACTGATTCAACTTTTCGACATTTAACTGTTTGTTTCTTGCTCAAATCTGGATTTTTTTAATTAAGTGCTTTGATGGCCGTTGGTAAAAGCATTAATAAAGCCACATCTTTTTCATCTGAACGTAGCAATTATTAAATGTATGAATAAGAAAATGTAGCATTTGCGAGTGTAACTTAAAAGTGACTCAAAGTTACTTATTGTGTAACTTAAAAATACATTAAATTTCATGAAATTTTTAATAGTGTATGTGATATAAAGAGCAGATTTATTTGTAATGTATTAATGAATGTATGTACCATCTGATAGTGTGGACAACTCGACCAGCAAAGTTTCAGCCTCTTCTCCTCTAATTACTTTTGAATTAATAAATTTTTCTAAGCACTGTCTCAAAGGCGGCCAGACCTTCTTCAAATTATTTAAACTAAGTTGTCTGTTGTCGAAGTCTAAATTGACCTGAATTATAATGAAACATATCGTATAAGATACTGACAAATAATTTTTAATATTAATGTTAAGATATTTTTATAATTTCATATAAAAATATTATATTACAATGTACTAACAAGATCCGATCCACGACTATCATAAAGACAAGGGAATTCATCGAAGTACAAAATTCCTGACTTTTTTGCTTTTTTGGTTACGTTTTGCCTTACAAAAAAAGTTTTCTTCCACGCTTCTACGATTATATCCCAGTGTTCTGTGTTTTCGCGCAATACCGCAAATTCCTTTATGAGATTCTCTAATCATTTTATGAAAAAAATACATTTCATGAATGGCAGTTATAATAATGTATCTGTTCCTCAGCATGAATTAAAGTTTCAAGTAAAATGTAATAGTTTATGAATAGTTATTCACAGTTAAAACGTTTCAGTAAATTAAGAAAATTTAACAAATTATTACAGAAATAGCACACCACTTGTAAGCGATGAATTACAAATTCTTGTTTTAGGAAATTGCAACGCTCCAGCCTCAATCAATATTTTTCGAATGTAATTTACACGAGATAATAATTTCCCAGATGCGGGGACTTTTAGATCTTCTTCTGTTCGTGCAGGAGTGTAGAAAGTTGCAGAACGTTCATGAAACAAATCTTTAATTTCATTTGCGAGTTTCTGTAAAATTTCTGTCGGAATTCTGAAATTATTTTAAATTTATTACAAATGAATCTTGCGTACTCTATTAATGTGAATCGATGAAAATCACTTATCGTCAATCACTCATCATTAATTAATTTTCATCATTAGTTTTTCGAGATAATATTTTTCGCAATAAATAAATTTATTTTCAGATTTATATCATATTAAGATCTTTTTAATAGATGTTTATTGAGCATCAAAATTTAATTGTGATGTTATTTCAGTAATTCATCTGCATTTTTAAGTTTGGCAAAATTTCAGCGTGTAGTTCGAAACAACTACAAATATGGTATATATATTGTATATGCAATGTATATATAGTATAGTTTATAAAATTCACATTGAATTATTTAAGCAATTTTTAGTATTTTAACTAATACTAATTAATTATAAGTTTTCCGCTGATTTTTTAGCTCAGTGATTTTAACCGATCCAGATTTAAAAAAAATTTATTGTGAGTTATATAGTTTATTGTATATATTGTATATATTGTATATATAAAAATATATTGTGAGACATACTCTAATTTTTATAAGGGATTTTGCAGGGTTACTTGTTTTTGGTTGAAGATTATTGTTAATTCACGATTCACAAGCAAATGTGTCAAATTATTCATCATTGCGTCTGACAAAGTATTATATTTTTTTAAATGAATTAATATCAATTGTCCTTCAAAGCTGCTTTTCAAGAAAGATGACAATTCTTGGCATTGCGGTATAAAAATTGCAAAGTTTATTATACTCTACATTTTGGCATTTTGAACAGACAATGTCGAATGATGACGTTTGGTTTTTATCAAATATGCTCGACACTGATTCTTCGGAAGTCAATAAATCATTAACCTCATTATCATCAAACGTAATGCTTAACATTTTGCTGGGAACTATCTATTTCGACGGACATTGCTATAAAAATAAACATAACGGAAGACTTATACTTAAGACAATCTTAAATATAAGAATCGACTATGAATACCGGCCAAATATTCTAATTTTTATGGCGTTATTTCATAATGAGGAATGATAGGTTATAAACATAGGTTATAGGCTGTAAGGCACTTACCTATAACTATTGAAGATTGCCGATGATGCAAATCTTCTTTGGCTCTTGGATTGTTAAAATAATAATAAAGTCACTTTAATAAGAACGTCGGGAAAGACTTTCAATGACAAGTCCATATAATCGTATATTGTCGACTGTGTAGTCAGCCGCCGAACGCGCAACAATAGTTGCTGTCCGAAAAACAGAGACTACTGCGCGCGCAGCTCTGAGTACTGTGAAAACGATTACTGTCCAGCGCAGCTGTGATTACTGTCCAAACAGTGATGACTAGCGCGCGCACACAGTAATTATCGCTGTGCAGTGAATATAGGGAGTTTTTGCAATAACGTGAATTCAGATACGGTGAACGTTAAAGTCACGTTATCTGATAGAAAACGAAACTGCGCATGCGCATTATTTACCGTGACGCTATTCTGATAACGTCCAACCTTATTTCTTAGCAAATAAGGTTCGTGATTAGCGTCGACATTATAACCTAATAGGATGGTGGCAGAACATAACCATAGCCACTATGAACTTTAGACCAGGGATGCCAGATCAGTGACGGTTTACGACATCGAGACTAACGCCATCAGGCGGCGGGCTGGCACAACCGATTGCAACACAAACGCGAGCCCGTGTCCGTGTGACTTCGTAGTTAGAAGCGTGCCGACTATATCGTCGACCTATTCGCACTCGTTCTCATTGTTTGGCCTTGTCGGCGCGCTGAGAGCGAGAGAGAACCTGCCTTCGCTTTTGTAGCTTCACAAACTCGCTCAAGCGACCGAAATATGTTCTCTCGGCCGCTCGGCGTGTATCAAGAGGCATAGAGACATTCTAGATAACATACGGAGTGTCCCGAACTATTTT